TTTTTTTTTTTTTTTTTTGATAAAATTTTTTTTTTTCTCTGCAATATGCACTATCCCTGAGAAATACTATAAACAAACTAGATGGCTGGACTCATTTATATTTTCATTAATAGTAATATAAAAATATTTTATCTTTAGATTAATTCGGGGGTTTTTTTTTGTATAATGGAGTTCCGTATATACTTTATATACTTTTACATATACTTGTTAAAAAAACAAATATATCATTACATACGAATACAAACCTTACACACCAAAAAGATGAATACCGATACATCAGATGTTGCTGGAAAAAAACCTTCCATAAAGAAGGGAAGGTGGTGCAAAAAAGTGAGATATTTTTTTCATATGATATATATACACATATATATAATAAACAATTTAATTTTGTTCGGCTGACAAAGCAAAAACCACAGTAAATAATATAATTGTACCACTAACATATTATTATAATTAATTTTAGGACGACGATTTTTTAGCACATCTGGTCTCCTTAGAGTCGTCGAAACCCAGATGGCGACATATTGCCGAAAAATTCGGCAGTAGGAGTGGAAAACAATGTAGGGAGAGATGGGAAAATCACCTCAAAAATGGAAGTGAGTATTCTATGTTTACTTCACGTGATTTTTTCGAATTAAAAAGAATTTTATGAAACAAAATTAACTTAATGAACCCCTTTTACTTTTTAGTCGTCAAACGACGATTCACGGCCGCCGAGTCGGCATTTATTCATAATGAGGTGGAGAGATGCCGACCAGAAGCACCAAAATGGGCCTTAATTTCAGCGAAGCTGGTGAATTCCACTCCGCTGATGGTGAGGAACCATGTCAACAATTACCGCAGGAAAAGGACTGCAAATGCCCTAAAACATCGGAGGGCAAAATTGTACCAAAACAGGTCAACCTCAAAAATAACAGGTTTGTTCGTCATTCGTTTTTTTTTTCTTGAAAAAAGAAAAAGGATAATCATTAATTTTTTAATAAATAATTTTTAGTTAACCTTATGCCAAAGCCACAAAATCCACCGATAACGAAAATGTCTGTAACATTTTTGTTAAACTGAATTGTGGCCGGCCCATAATTTTTCATCATATCATATTTCCTATTTTCCGCAATTTTTTTTTTCTTTGTTATATAAGCTATTCCCCTTTCGTATTATTGTCATTCGGACAATTCATCCGACTTTCATATATCATATTTTTTTATTTATAAGTTTTTAAAAGTGGTTTTTTTTTTAAATTTGTTTAAATTTGTCGAAATATTAATTTGTTTAATTTGTCGTATCAACTATCAGGTATTCGAAGTATTAAATTAAAATATTTTTAACTTGTCTAATTTGTCCAATTTGCGAAATTTAAATATTTTAACTTGTCTAATTTGCGAAATTTAAATATTTTAACTTGTCTAATTTATCGAAATCTTATCGAAATATTTTAACTTGTCGAAATATTTTAATTTAATTTATCGTTAATTTGTCGAAATATTATGTTTAACTTGTCGAAATATTTTAACTTGTCAATACATTTTAACTTGTTATTTTAACTTGTCAACATATTTTAACTTGTCGAATATTTTAACTTGTCGAAATATTATATTTAATTTATCAAAATTTTAATTTATCAAAATATTTGTAACTTGTCGAAATATTATATTTAACTTGTCGAAATATTTTAACTTGCCAACATATTTTAACTTGTCGAAATATTACATTTAATTTATCAAAATATTTGTAACCTGTCGAAATATTATATTTAACTTGTCGAAATATTTTAACTTGCCAACATATTTATATTATATTTAACTTGTCAATACATTTTAACAACATACATTTTTAACTTGTCAATATATTTTAACATATTTCAATACATTTTAACTTGTCAATATATTTTAAGACATATTGTAGAAATACTAATAAACTTTAAATACTATAAAAGATAATCTTGTAAATACCATATGTCCATATCCATATCCATATATTAACGCGTAAAAAAAAAAAAAAAAAAAAAAAAAATTTCATCATCTAAGGTTACGTCATTGACCCATTGCCCCATTGTCATCATTGTCATCCTCACCCGCATTGTTACACTCTTTTGGGAAGAGCGGGATAAATTTGAAACTCTCGGTAAAGAAAAGGAATAGAAACTTTATTTCTATAGATGTACATTAATCTTATATTAAAAACATGTTATCCATTATAATTTTGTTTGTTACATCACGTTTATAACAAAGAAACACGATTACTCTTTTAATAACGTTAAAAAGATAAATTTATTATAAAAGAATTTCTTCTTGTAAACCAACTTTAAGGTTTTTTTTTTCATAGAAATCTTTTATTTACAAAGATATTGCATGATTAAATTTTTGGTAACAATCAATGAAAAAAATACAAAAGGTTTAAATTAAACTTGAATAGGAAATAAACGGAGAGCGGAGAAACAAAAGATTAATTTATGCAATTTATAACTATATCAGGATTCTTTTTAAAGTGAGAAAACAGAAAGGGCCTTTTTTAAGATTAAAATATTCTTTTCATTAAAATGCGAGATAATTCAACTTTTACCTCTTCTCAAAAAAATATTTAATATTTTTTATTTACATCTTGTACTTGCGTTGCCTGTCACTGCAAAAGAAATATTTTTATGCATTTACATGAGACTTAATGTGGCATGGGTTAAAAATTGGCTGAATAATGGCTAAATCAGATTGCGTCACCAATATATGCAAGTGAGCGTGTTTTGGAAAAAAAAAAAAATTTTTTTATCGGAACAGAAAGAAAAAATAACTGGAATAATTTGAAACAATGGTTCTGGGAAAACTAAAAATAAAAATGGGAATTAATTCTTGAATGAAACTATTTTAAAAAATATTTTGATATCCTTGTGAATATTTAGTTAGTTTAATGATTTTATTAAAATATAAAAATTTTGAAACTTAATTGGAAGGAACAAAATAATAATTTTTTTTTTTTTAGTAACATGCGTTGTTATTATAAAATTTAAACGATCATTTTTGGATAGTTTCTTAATAAAATTTATTTAAATTATAAATTATTTTTCTATTTTAATATAAATTTCAATATATAAATAATTTTTAATAAGAATTTTTATTAAAAGTGAGGGTAATAAGCAAAATTAGGATTATTATTTACTATATACTTATTGTATAGTATGAAGTGGCACAATCTG